TGTTTCTATTTGATTCAATGTTTCTGTGGAGTTTCAAATCATTCCTACAGTGTTCAGTCACGTGCCCATATCCCTGGCAGCGTTGGCATCCCCATTCTCCGGACTGCATGTTCCTACACATTGCCATTCTCATCTACAAACATCACTTTCTCTGGGACTTGGCTCTTGATTTCCATTTCAATAAGTACCCTGGCATACATTACCCTCTCCCTACTAGCAGTTAATTCATCTGTCATCACAGGGATACCAAATACCAATGGTACTTACAATGCGGCTTAGGGAGGAATTACTCAAATACTTGAGTTCCGGACCCCTAAATTGAACCCAGGCAGGTACTTTATTCACTTCCCTATAATTAATTCCCCTATCTACTGACCAAGGTTTCACCACAATCGGTTTATTCCCAAAATGGTACATGTTTGAGCTGAGAACTACCTCCCTATCATGCATACTTGTAAATCTTATATAGCATATAAACCCGAGGGAAGGAGACTTACCTTGTCAACTCCCAAATGTCCCCACAAATTCCTAAATTGTTTATTCATGACGGCATAAGGCAGATTGGATACGAAGCTTACAATGGAGGTTTCCCAGTATTTTGCCTCAATTTCCACATCTTGTGCCTGAATCTGGCCTATCTTCTGCCCATTTACTGCATGTGTGGCACAAAATCGAGTTTGGAGCTGCCATTCCGAAGTTTCTTGATGTCGAACTTCCCCCAAATGTTGTCCTCCACCTGTTTATCCATTATCTATGCCCAGGATGATCTTCGCTCAGCACTTTCACTTGATTCTGCCTCCTACTTCTTATTCCCAACCTTATACGGAATCGGATTAGGGCTTTGATGTTGCAGCAGCACCTTCAAATCGGCGGTATTAGTCAATTTAGGGCTATGTTTCATGATAATTCCCCAATTGATGTAGCCAGCGGAAGCCTCAATCTTGAACCTTAACAAGTAACCTCGGTAACCATGGTAATACCCACAAATACAACCCTACTAAACACCGTTGATTCGACACCAACACATGGACCAGGATAATTGGTAAATGAGATAAACTCTCAAATTTTATAAAATCAACAATCGAATTATCCAATGACAGCTAATCCTTTTAAAAAAGAAAGACAAAGAAAAATTAAACCCTAATCTCAACTAAAGTAAATTACTAAAATAACCCTATGAAAGATAAATTAAAACCCTAATATTATTAATTTACCATCTCCATCATTCTCCCGGGGTTGGAGAAAAATGGTCCTCAAGTTTCGAACGAAGGTTTGCCACGGTCAAACGGAAAATGGGCAAAACCCAGCCATAGCTTGCATATAATTGTGTCTACCACGGTCAAATGGAAACGTGGCGAAACCTTTCCATAGCTTGAGTTTACCTCCTCCTAATATGAAGTTTTGAAATCACTATGTCACGATTTCCTTCTTCATATTCCTGGAAAAATTAGCTCTATTTTTCTTGTTACAAGCATTTTACACTTGACCTCTTAGTGTTATTTTTTGTTACAATAGCTTTTCTAATACCTGATTCATTGTTATTTTAGTTGATATGATTTCAAACATGGACATGATGCTTTGTCCATTTTTAACAATGTGGACTTAGGTCAAGAATCATTCTCCTTTTTAACTTTAATAGAGAATTTTTCATTCTCTTCAAACTCTTTTATTATATATAAAGAGTTCTAAGTTTCCAAATATATAATTCTTTTTTTCTTTGAGATCTGATGGAAACTTTAAAGTATTGACATAAACAACTCAAACATATAGTAAGCCATGAATTTCAAATTATATATTAAAACATATGATATAAATTCATAACTATATCACTATTGTCTTACTATGTATCACATGAAATTATCATGTAAATTGCAAATTCATTCAAGCAATTAAATATTCCATGTAACAAACACAAATACAGGAAATTAGCACTTTATTGGGATCAAAGTTCTTTATTTGATTACCCAAAAATCAAATAATTAATATGTGATGCACTCACAAAAATTCTGCACACAAGAATTTATTTTATTTTATTTTGATTTTCTTAGGTTTCGGTCTTTGACTTTTTTGTCGACTTTATCCAGGCGACGACTAAGTCGACGAGACCAAACAGCCAAACAGTTTAACAGATGTTGACTATTCTGTCAACTTTAATTCTATAGACGAACAAGTTGACAAAGCCAAATAGTCAGACATATCAACAAACGATAACTTTTATGTCAACTTTACTCTAGTCGACCAACAAGTCGACAAAGTCAATTAAAACACCGAATAAATTTCAACAGATTTCGACTTTATAAAAATTTATAACTTGCACTCAAAGCACTATTGCTATATCAAATACCAATTTTACATTTCTATTTCAAAACATGATAAAATCATGACAAAATTCTCTATTAAACCTTTTATGACATATATTTTCTTAATTAATTATCACATTAATTAAGTATTTTATTTTGATAGAAACCACACATTTGGGCAATCAACAAATAATGCATAGTAAATTTCTTTTACATGCAAAGGTTCATGAATTCTACAACCAAGTTCCACTCAGGCATAGATCTCATCATTGCGTTCATGTATTTATTAAATATATACATACCTCGAACTTGGAATGTCACAATTCACAAGTAAAATATAATTCTTACTTTGATGACACGGTCCATTGTATCCTATTATTGCCCTTTCCATTAAATCCAATGATCTGCAACAGCTCTACCATTTTCGTCTGCAATGAAAATATCCTTGCTTGATTCTTCAAGTACTAGCCATTGTTTAACAGGAAAATTTAGCCTAAAGATTGTTGGATTCTACTTCAAGAATAGTAGACAATAGTGGCTGCACTAGATCAAAGAACAAGAGGAAGAATTTATGGTTAGGACAAAAGAAAGTTTTGTCTCCAAGTCACAAGTAAACTTACTTTCCTTTAGGCTAAATTCGCCCACTATACAGAGAAATTGTCTAGGCGAATTCTCTATGAGATAAAATGGAGATTATATTGTTTCACTATGCACTTTAGTGAACCAACAACCAGATACAAAGATAAGAAATGTCATTGGAAATATTCCAAGTATTTAGTGATTTCATTGTACACTAAAAACATCCAAATGATCCATATTTATAGAGTTAGAGGAAACTCTTGAGGATTAGACGTAACCCTTGATTATGGTACTAGACATAACTTTTCGTTAATATTTTTTACTATGGAGTTCATAGGCACAACCTATTAGTTGTGTCTCTACAATATATTGAAAACACCCAACAGGCACAACATATTAATTGTGTCTCTACAATATATTGAAAATAACTCCAACAAATACAACCCTCCTAAACATCGTTAATTCGACGCACGAATACCTATTGTTTAAGGGATTAAAAATCCCACCAACACATGGACCAGATAATTGGCAAAAGAGATAAACTCCCAACTTTTATAAAATCAACAACCGAATTATACAATGACAGCTAATCCCTTTAAATAAGAAAGACAAAGAAAATTAAACCCTAATCTCAACTAAATTAAATTACTAAAATAACCCTATGAATGATAAATTAAAACCCTAATATTATTTATTTGCCGTTGTTAGACCCCAAAATGGATTTGGGTCTCTTTCACAGGCCGATTTGGCCGTCAACCGAAAAGACAGAGTTTCCCTAATGTTGGTGTTCAAGTTGGAGAAGGATTGTTAAGCAACAAAGAAATCCTAGGCTCATTTGGATTGTTTCCTATAATTTAGAGATAATATTTGGAGCTAATTTTATTGCCTCCTTGATAGGGATTGGTTTGCAAAAGAAGCGTACTTTGGTTTGGATTAGAAAGCTTCCCAGATGTCGATTAATTTATTAAAGGGATTTGATCAAATATTTGGACGAAATGGAGTGTAGTTGCATTGGCCGAATTCTTTGCTTTTAGGAGGTGATTACATGCAATTTGACTAAATTGGAGTTGAAAGTCTACTACGGGTTTCCATGCAAAAAAGGAGTTTTGGGTGCCTGATTATACTCCTACATATTAGGAGGCAATCTGATTGGTTTATCTATGAAAGAAGAGTCCAAATTAAGTTATACGTAATCATTGGCATAAGGAAGGACTCGTGGGAATGGATTGCTATTGCCTTCATGAAATCCCAAATGGACTCTACTTCAATTATTTCCCGAACAAGCTACTGACGGCCGAGTTTTTCTATTTAAGCAGCCGAGACATCAATCAATAAAGACACCTCAATTCATCATCAATCAATATCATTCATTTTTCTTTCTTTTTCGTCTTTTCCGTTTATGTACTTTGATCATGTTTTTCTAGTGTAGTCTAGATTAAATAGTTTTTTGTCTATTTTTCTTCATAAAAACAGGTAGTCGTTTATGGTATTCTACTTCAGTAAATTCGATTCTTCTTGTAATGGCGCATTATCGACACTTTTCATAGTCAGTCGGTGCGACATATCTCTTTTTCTCCCCATTTTAATGAATTGACGACCACCACTCTTTGGCTTGTCTCTCTTCTTTTTTATATTTTTTTTATTATTTATTAAACCGAATTTAACCCTAAGTTCTCGATTCCTGGCCCGAGGCCGGTTTTTGAACACATCCACGGTCGCTCTGATTTATTTTTATACTCAGGTTATTTTTTGTCTCCTTTCCACGATCCGAGTACAATTTTTGCTCAAACATAAAATGGCACGCCCAGTGCAACCAGCTTTGGTTTGATTCCTAGATCGTTGTGGTCATTCTTCCTAAAATCTCTATTTTTCAAAATCTCTCTTTCTTCTTAAAAAAAAAATTCTTCCTTTCGTTTTTTATTATGGGATCCGATCTTAGTAGCCCCAGGGATCCGTTCTATACTTCTTCTCTATATAATAGGTCGCCTAGTAATCCTCAATCCCCGTATTTTTATAGATCATCACCACTTGGTGGGCATATCTCTCAATAGCCCGCAGTTCCACATGTAGGACATAATTCTTAGGGGGCTGAAAATAATATCGGATGACAGGCTACCCTTGATGGCTGCTTTCCTTAATCTTATGGTCAACATGGTGCGAAAAAGTAATCTAGTTGCATTGACGGACGACGTGACGGGTCTATGGTGCAAGATCCCTCAAGATTCGGGGGGCTGCCCGCTATTGGTAATTCAAATGCTACACATACTTTTTACAATATGCTAATTAGTGAAAACATGGTGCAACAGATACAGGCGCAGCAACTGTAGGTTTTTTCGCTGCAACAACATCAAGTTCAAGAGCAGGCGCAGCCGCAGGTTCTGTCGCTACAACATTAGCGATTGCAGATCCAGGCACTTTAGCAACAACAAGTGTCGCCGGTGCAACATCAGCAAGTTCTATTGCAGGTGCAATCACATCAAGTTATGTCGCCACAGCATCAGCAAGTTTTGTTGCAGGCACAATCACAGCAAGTTTTGTCGCAGCACCATCAGCAAGTTCAGATGCAGGTGTTGCAACAGTTGCAGTTACAGCAGGTAGTGCCGCATGTACAGAACCTGTAGGTGGTACAAAAAACTCAGCATACGCAACAAGCAAGTGAAAGTTTGGTTGCAACAGCAGATCGGTTGCAAGAAAATTCTGTGACAGGTTTATCGTCGACACCCGGAGGGCTACCTAGTGATTTGATGCTGAATGTGGCAAGCTTAGGGAAAGCTTGCAAGAAGAGTCTGAGCACACCCAACAAGCATTTGTCGTCGCAAATGAACAGGTGTTGCAGCCATTAAATACAGTTTCGGCGAGTGAATCATTGCCGACTATTGAAACTATAGTTGTTACTGAGCATTATGTGCATATTGATTCATTTTGTTTGTCTAATGACCTGTTATTGGTGAAAACGAGTCTGTCAAAGTTGATTGTAGAAAATCTTGTGAGTCTTCTAGCGGCGACAGTGATATTGAGGAGATTATTTGTGATTGCTGTGACAATGTTTCACCTGCAACTGATAATTCTTTTTGTCCAAGTGTCGACGAAATTAAGGGCGAGCAAGAGCAAGGCCAAGTGCAACTCTTGATGCCAGTTTATCTGTGACAGGTGAACCGGCACAATGCTTCATCTCTGATGTTCCAAAAGAAGCAATAGCAGACCAACAGGTTGCAGTTTCTAATGATGGCTTCCAAAATCTGCGATGTAACAGTAGTGCTGAATTGGTCAATAATACAACAGATTCCATGCCGGTTAAGCAAAAGTCTAATCATGCCTGGCTTTATGACAAGAGACGTTCTACCAGTAGAAGAAGCAAGCGGAATAAAGGGAAGTCAATACCGCGTGGTTTTCACTTTGCAGAAAGGGTCAATGACGGTCACTATTACGTGGCATTGATTTTGATGGTGGCGACAGTAATTATGCCTATTTGGATTATGGTGCTGTTGTAGAGTGGAGTATTGATTTGACTAAAGATCATGACTTGCTGAAATCCTTGATTGGCTGAGAAAAGAAGCATTCTGCAAGAGATCAGTCGAAGATGCTTACACCTTCCGTTATGCGGCCTAGCAGAATCAAGGCATTTGGGGCCGAGGTTGTCGTTGCTAAGTTTAGTAGTGATTCGGCTAAGATCAATAATGATGTGATCATTCAGGGTGCAGCTGACCAAGAGAAAGAATCTGCTGTTGCAGGGTCAAAGGGCGATGATAAGGCCGGCGACGATCAAGAAAGTTCTGTTGCATATGCTAGTAAGTTGTTGACGATTAATGAAGAAGTTGAAACTATCAGTGCAACATCAAGCTCTCAGGTTCGGAATGATAATGGGGGCCAGAATAGCGGTTCTCATGCACATGAGGGTCAGACAACAAGCTCATAAGGTTCGTCGCGACAATAGTGGCAATCATACTTGGCGTCGACGTAGTTCGACAAGTTCCGGCACAGCAAGTGATTATTATAGGAGACATCCAACATCTCGGCCGAGTAAGTCTGCACTTCGATTTAATCATTATGTTCCTCATTTTGCATGGGTGCCGTGTTACTCTGGTGTTCCAGCTGGTTGGCTTTACATTGATGTTAGTGCGATGCCGAATGCACATTATTGGTGACAATGTGTTTATCAACGTCCACATCTCATTTCATTCCATTCCGTTTCATATGGACGTTCGGGGGGCTTTATGTTAGACCCCAAAATGGATTTGGATCTCTTCGACATGCCGATTTTGTCGTCAACCGAAAAGACAGAGTTTCCCTAATATTGGTGTCCAAGTCGGAGAAGGATTGTTAAGCAACAAATAAATCCTAAGCTCATTTTGATTGTTTCCTATAATTTAGAGATAATATTTGGAGCTAATTTTATTGCCTCTTTGATAGGGATTGGTTTGCAAAAGAAGCCTACTTTGGTTTGGATTAGAAAGATTCCCAGATGGTGATTCATTTATTAATAGGATTTGATCAAATATTTGGACGAAATGGAGTGTAATTGCGTCGGCCGAATTCTTTGCTTTTATGAGGTGATTACATGCAATTTGACTAAATTGGAGTTGAAGTTTCCATGCAAAAAAGGAGTTTTGGATTGGTATTGCCTTCTTGATTAGAGGCAATCTGATTGGTTCATCTATGAAAGAAAGGTCCAAATTAAGTTATAAATAATCATTGGCATAAGGACTCGTGGGAATGGATTGCTATTGCCTTCATGAAATCCCAACCGAACTCTACTTGCCTTCATGAAATCCCAAATGGACGCTACTTCAATTATTTCCCAAACAAGCTACTGACGGCCGAGTTTTTCTATTTAAGTAGCCGAGACATCAATCAAGAAAGACACCTCAATTCATCATCAATCAATATCATTCATTTTTCTTTCTTTTTCGTCTTTTCTGTTTATGTACTTTAATCATGTTTTTCTAGTGTAACCTCGATTAAATAGTTTTTGGCCTATTTTCCTTCATAGAAATAGGTAGGCGTTTATCGTGTTCTACTTCAGTGAATTCGATTCTCCTTGTAATGGTGCATTATCGACACTTTTCATAGTCAGTCGAACCTACATATCTCTTCTTCTCCCCATTCTAATGAATTGACGGCCACCACTCTTTGGATTGTCTCACTTCTTTCCTATATTTTTTTTCCAATTTATTAAACCGAAGTTTAACCCTAAGTCCTTGATTCCAGGCCCGAGGCCGGTTTTTGAATACATCCACAGTCGCTCTGATTAATTTTTGTACTCGGGTCATTTTCTGTCTCCTTTCCATGATCCGAGTACAATTTTTGCTTAAACATATAATGGCTTATGTCGGACCGATTTTTGACAAATCTGGTCCACATGAGAATGGGCCGATCGCAACACTTTAATGGAGGAAGAATCGGGTTGAAACCCGCCCTGATTAAAACTCGCGGATGCAACAAAGAGCAAGGAGGTCGAGTCCGAAAAGGAGTCAATGACGCCATAGTCCATATCGAAGAAGGATTCCAGTTGCAACAAAAGTCCTTGTGGAATTTTACTTCTGTTGCGACTTAGCAGGGGTTGGCGGAACCTATAAAAAAGCAATCACAGAGGCACCGGGAGAAGATAGAACTCATCATTCAAGAATCAAAATTTCATATTTTTCTTTACAATTTTTATCTTTTGATTGTCAAGCTTTTAATGTATTTTTTTACGTTTTGATCTTCAATCTTTTAATCATTTCGACGTTTTAGGCTATTCAAAGCCGACTCATCTTTAATCAAATTAATAAAACAGGCTCTTGAAAACCATTTTCTCCATTTTCCATAAATTTTCGTTACTCTTCTGGGTCGCCGATTGAGTGTTAATCCAATGGCATCAGTCCGTTTAGGCCAATCTTAGTGTTTGGACTCCGTATTTCAAGAATATCACGCAGTCGTTTAAAATTAGTTTGAATCGAATCGGTCTCCACTCTCAAATACAATTTTGACTCGAACATAAAATTTGGCACGCCCAGTGGGACCGATTTGCGTGTTCCAGGCTTTATTTAAGTAGAAAAACAATGTTATTATCTCAGTCATCAGCAACAGCACATTCGGCAGGAAAGAGCTCTATACCGATTCAGACTTTTGAATCAGGTGGGAGTTCCTTGCCAATGAATACACTTCCCAACATCTCGGCGGTGGAATCCTACTCAACAGTAATTACGGATTAGTCCACTAGGATACAACAGCAATCTAGCCAACAACAGTCCAATGTGGGATCAGGGATGTTCAGAGAAAGATCGAGTTATCTCGAGTCCTATAGAAGTCCAGGGTTTCAAACTCCAACCTTTCAGAGCCCGTTGTTGCAGGTTCCTGTGCTCGGTATCTAGGGCCAAACGAGTCAGATTCCAGAGATAACCCCCGAGATGTTGCATCAACGATTTTTAGAAATAGAGCATGCTATGGCTACACAAGTGGAGCGTTTTGAGGATGCTTTTCAGAGGCTAATTGACCACAATGCAAACACAGGAAGTGCTACACTTAGTAGATCTATGACGTCAGGAGTTAACACGGCTACAGGACAGTGAGTTCAAAGGTGCCACCAGTCAGTATGGTTAATAATCCTTTATATCATGCCATATTCCAAACATCTGCAACAGATACTCCGTTGCAGAATCTCAGAGAGGGACCAGGTAACAGTGGATCTCACAACGTAGCATTACAAGGAATGCAAAGTTGGTATTAGCCAGTTGTTCCAAGTCAGCCAGCTTTTGTGTAACCACCAGGGAATTTTACTTTTGATGGATGTCAGTTGCCTCCATTGTCTCCTCAATATGGCGCACCAGTGATGATGCTTGGAACGTCATGGAGACAACAATTACCTTATCAAAGATTCCAGGCACCGTGGCCGGTGACTCCAGGAATGCAGCAGGTGGGAAATGCAACAAATAATACTGTTGGAAGGAATGCCCAAGAGGCAAATCAATTTCAGTTGCAAAATGTTGCATTTCCACAGCAGGTTTTACCAATGCAACATCGAAAAGGATCAGCGGTGATCCCATCACAACTGAGTGGACAAGAAGGTGCGCCTAGGCTAACGCACATACCACAGGGAACATCAGAAATAGGTGTCCAAGGAACTCTGGGTGTAACAATTAATTAGGGCCCCGTTGGTACGGGAAACAATCAAGGTGCTGTTATTGAAAATGCAAGGCAGGCTGGTCAACATGTGCAGGCGACCAATGATCGCTGCTTTATATTGTATCAGAACTGAGTACCAGAAAATAATACCACAGCTACAAATTTGGATGATTCACACGTACCTCAAGGCTTTGGTATTGTGGTTCCTGATCCGCAAATTGTTCCACCTCATCAATCATTGGAAGAAAATAGAGAGGAACAACAGTGGATGGAGTACGAAGCAAACCAGATTCTGAATTGAAATAGGGCACAAGCTATTGGAAGACATATCGGAAACCAGAATTTGGGAAATAGGCATAACCCATGTCACCAGCGTTTATGGGGTCAAGGAGGTGGTCGTCATCAAGTTGATCTTGGTACGAAGTTAGATAAGAACCGGATGCAGCAGCGAAACTGTGGAAAATGCAACAACGAGAATTTTTGTCTTACTTCCATAGGGATACCACACGGTTGTCAATCGTTGATCTTTCAGAAATTCGACAGAAGTTTGGAGAAACTGTGAAAGCTTATTTGATACGCTTTCGTCAAATGTATGCTAAGATATCGGATAAGTATGACGAACCAACTATTGTCAAGATGGCAATTGCTGGGATTCAGGATTACAAAGTCAAGTTGGCCATCGCACTGCATTCTATTCGATCTTTAAATCATTTGGCAGATATTGTAAGGAGATGTGAGAAAGTCATTAAAGATAAAAGGGAGAAGGACCCGAGAAAGACGAAGCAATGGTTCAACAAAGCCCCAATAGCGGAAGTGAATCAGAATCAATGGGTTCATGATGAGGACGATGATGAATACGAGGTTAATGCCGCTGAAATCGTCAATGTCCGTAACTACACATGTGACGCATCACGTCGCCCTACAGTTCCACATTCTTAGAATACTCCCCCACCGGTAGGTGCACCGGTAGGCACCTCAGGGCAAGCTGACGGAGCTAACATTGGTAGAGTATATTCTTCTGACATATCGCAACGAGAGGCCATTTTTTATGACATGTTCCAGAAAGGCCATATCCAGTACAGAAGGGGATATAGACAACCAAAGTCGGCGGATCTGGTTGGAAAGACGTATTGTAAGTATCACATGTCATCGACTCACACCATTAATGATTGTGTGGTGTTTCGAAATAAACTTCAAAAGATGATTGATGGTGGCAATGTGGTAGTAGAGATCCAGTTGAAATGAATGTCAATCCTTTCCCACCACAGCATCAAGTCCAAATGGTGAATGTAGGATTCGGAAGTCATTCCTCTGACACATGTTTGGTCACTGGTTGTGAAGATTGTGACAAAGTATATAATAAGGTCAAGCAACAGTTGCAAGAGCTAGGGTCTAAATTCGGGGGCCATTTGCATCGACAGAATACACGTCCATCTACAACAGAAGTGAACATAGTGATAAATGGACAGACGCAAACATGGGTACAAGAGGAAACATGTTTAGATCCGGAGCAAGAGAAACTGAGAGCTTTGTCAGATGCAATCTTGAGCGCTTTGAACCAAAATCAGCAACAGACTTTACAACATCAGGGTTTGAATGCAGAAGTTCTTCAGACGCAGCAACGAGTGCCCGTCCACTACAAGGCTGGGGAATACCGTTATTAACTCTAAGGCTAACTCGCCATACCAAGTTCATGACACAAGACCGTCAGTGTGGCAATGGATTCAGAGTTCCAGCCAAAGGGACAATACGGAGCCAAGGTCAGTCAGAGCAGCACCCGAAAATCACAGAGAATGGCATTGCGCTGTTCATCCCATGTTCCCTACTCCGCCATTAAGGAAAAAAAAGATGACCAGGACACAGTAACGACGATGGCAACGGGTTGTGAATAAACAAAATAGGGGTGCAACAAAAAAGTTAGGAACAAGAGGAACAACCATTGTTATCCTAACAAGCGTCAAGGAATAAGTTTTTCAGGGCAGAAAGATAGACGGTCACAGTTTTGGGGGAAAATGGATACGTTCTTCCCACTAGTAAACATGGTTTATATGTTACCGAAAACTTTTCGTTTTAAAGAATCTGCAACTGCAACAACTATCATTCCCAAAGTTGTTGCAAACTCAATAGTTGTTCCTGAAGCAACTTCGTTCGTAACACAACCACATGCGCTACGATTGGTGGTATTCAACTGCTATCTCAAGAAGGTAAAGACACGGTCATAATGCTTTCTCAGCCAACTGAGAACTCTGGGACACACATTCGACCATTATACATTTGTGCCATTCTGGATGGAGTACCATTGAGACGGGTGTTAGTGGACAATGGTGCAGAAATTAATATCTTAACCACAAGAGCTTTATAGAGATTAGGCAAGCAACTCAAAGATTTAGAGCCAACTGAAGTTTTTGTTAGCGGATTTACAGGAGACGTTACAACCGCTAAAGGAATCCTCCCGTTACAAGTGGAGGTAGGATCACAAGTGATGGTGTCGGCGTTCCTTTTGGTTGACACTAAAGCGTCAAACAATGCCCTTTTAGGGCATGTGTGGATCCATTCAGCAAGATGTATCCCTTCCTCATTACATCAAGCTATTATTATATAGGGAACAGATGGACCAAAAATCATAGCTGCCGATGCAAGTCCATTTGTAGCTCAAGCTAATGCTGTAGAGGCTTACTATTACGATAATGAAGTAGGCCCATACCGTCTTGTTGGGATGGATAAGTATGGTCGGCCGCAATAGGCCACTATACGTCGTGATATGAGTCTTCTAGAGTGGAAGTTGCTGTTACAAAAAGTCAACATGCCATACAATTACAACATGTTAAGGTTGTTGCCAGCTGCTCCGTTTATTGAAGAAATATTTAATGAAGACAATTGAATAGTTAAGTGTTTTGGATACGATGGAGTTAGATCAAGAATTGTTGATGGCAAATGAAAAGCAAACCGCCATCAAGCGTGTGTTGCAGTATTTCGAGAATGAGTGTCAACATCAAATTAAAACAGCTGCGGTATGTTGGGATGAAGTAATTTATGATGCAGATCTAGTTGCGAACAGTGACATCATCAATTTGAGTGAAATAGCTACTGCAACTCCAAATTTAAGTGATGAAGCAGTTGTTAACAAAGAACCAGTCGAAGAATTAAACTTAGGATCATCTGGCGAGGAGAAGCCTACTTATATTAGTTCTTCCTTATCCGCCAATGACAAGAACTCACTAGTTGATTTTTTGAAGCAGTATCATGATTGTTTCGCTTGGGACTATACGAAAATGCCAGGTTTAGATCGGAGTTTGGTAGAACACAGTATCCCTTTAAAAAAGGGTTTCAAGCCATTCAAACAACCGCCAAGGAGATTGAAACGTTTATTGGTAGTTGACTTTATTGAAGTTGCAGTATATGTTAAATGGTTATCTAATGTGGTCCCCGTTATCAAGAAAAATGACAAAACCAGGGTCTGCACGGATTTCCATAATCTTAATCTAAGCATCACCCAAGGATGAATATAAAATGTTGAATGCAGAAACATTCATTGACGGGTTGATGGGTTTTCAAGTCATGAGTTTTGTTGATAGCAACGCTGGATATAACCAAATTTTCATAGCTCCTGCAGATGTTCAAAAGACTGCTTTCCGTGCGCCAGGATCCTTGGGCATTTTCCAGAGGAAGGTTGTGCCATTTGGGTTAAAGAATGTCGGAGCAATGTACCAAAGAGTAATGAGCTGCATCTTTCATGATCTCATCGGAAGGGTTATGGAGGTATACATAGATGATGTGGTGATGGAATCGCATTCTTTTAGGGATCACTTACAACATCTGCGTCAGTGTTTTGAGCATATGAGGAAGTATAAACTGAAGTTGAACCCATTGAAGTGTGGATTCTCTGTTTCCTCAGGAGTTTTCTTGGGGTTCTTAGTACACTCGAGGGGTATCGAAATTGATGAAGAGAAAGCTAAAGCAATCATTAAAGCTAGACCCCCAAAGACAAAGGACTTATAGAGCTTGATCGGCAAAGTTAATTTCCTTCGCCGATTCATTTCGAATCTATCAAAGAAGTTGAAACCTTTTTCTCCACTTTTGAAAGTGGAATCTGCAACGGATTTTGTATGGGGTGACGAGCAACACCACACTTTTCAAGATATTAAACAAGCTTTATCAACTCATCCAGTAATGGTTCCACCGATATCAGATAAACCTTTAAAGCTATATTTGTCAGTAACAGAAAAGTCATTCGGCTATTTTTTAGCACACAAGATGGTCATGAAGGATTCGAAAGAGCTATATACTACCTCAGCAGAATGCTTACAGACACTGAACGCCGGTATCCACCGATTGAAAAGCTTTGTTTAGCATTATGTTTCGCTGTGACTAAGTTGCGGCATTACATGCTTCCGAGACTAGTCTGTGTTATTAGTAAAATCAATATTGTCCGCTACATACTGCATCGACCAATGATGAGTGGCGGGATTGGAAAATGGGTCCTGGCTTTGATGGAATATCAATTTCAACACGTACCGCAATCAGCGGTGAAAGGGCAAGCGTTAGTAGACTTCCTGGCCGCACACCCTTCACTTGACATGATTGGGACGATGAATTCCTTAGTACTTTTCAAGTGCACCAGTTAGAAACTCCTATGTGGATAGTGCACTTCGACGGCTCAAGAACTTTTCACCGTAGTGGCGCAGGAATAGTGCTTACACTACTGTTTGGAACAAAATTGCGATGTCAAGTTCGGTTGACTTTCAAAGCTACACATAATCAGGCTGAACACGAAGGATTAATTCATGCACTTGAGACGCTTCTATATAATGGTGCAACTCATGCAACAGTCATCAGAGATTCCGCTTTAGTCGTTGGCCAACTGAAGAAGTTGATGGAACAAAGTGATGAAGTCATGGATAAATATGCAGCAGTGGGAGATATGTTAGTTGCCTGATTCCAGCATATTGCGTTTCATAACGTTGAAAGAGAATTCAATGCAGAAGCAAATGATATAGCACAATTAGCATCTGGATATCTTAAGACACCATTGGGACAAGACATTACTTACGACACAGTTGATTTTGATACTCCTGCCTATGTCAGATATCCATTCAATGCAGAATTTTCTATTGCAACAAATACTGCAAGAGAAGATTGGCGAGCGCCGATTATCAAGTTTTTGCAAGACCTAACATACCATACACCGTTATCCATCCGGAGACAGTTGCCCAACTACTTATTGTTGCAAGGGCAGTTATATCGTAAGACATATGATGAAGTATTTCTTCTATGTTTGGGAAATCTAGAGTCCATGGTCTTGATGTTAGAAACTCATAAAGGTTTTTGTGGTGCCCACCAAGGAGGCAGGAAGATGGCGTGGCTACTTCACCGCCACGGTTATTTTTGGCCAACTATGATTCCAGATTGTAGTAATTTTGCCACAGGGTGTGTAGATTGTCAGAAACATGCTGAAATTCCACATACACACCCGGGGCCAATGCAATTTATAGTCAAACCATGGCCATTCCGGTATTGGGCCCTTGATATAATAGGCATGATTCATCCACCTTCTTCTGTGGGACATAGATATGTTCGAGTTGCAACAGACTATTTTGCTAAGTGGTTGGAAGCAATTCCTTTAAAGGATGTAGATCAGAAGGCCGTTATCAGTTTTATCAAAGAATATATCATCTACAGGTTTGGTTTGCCGGAAACAATCAACACAGATCAAGCGCAGTATTTTACGGGTTAGGATATGACGTAGCTTGCAAAAGATATGGACTTCACCCTAACTCATTCTTCTCTTTATTTTGCTCAAGGTAATGGTCAAGCCGAATCAACGAATAAACTCTTGAAAGGAATCATACAGAAAACGATTTCCGATAACCCACAGCAATGGCATGAAGTGCTGCGTCAAGCTTTATTGGCTTATTGGGTAACTGACGGATTTGTCGAGG